TCGCTGGATGCTGCCGGAATTCCACATATTTTCTCTGTGCGCGGCACATGCGGCGGGTTCCCACGAACTGGTGATTCCCGGACCCCGACCTCTTGCATATCAGCTTGTCATTCGCCGAACAAGCGAGATTTAGACAGCGACTGGATATGATCCGCGTGGACTTGACTATTGCTCTGAAGAAGAAAGTGAAAGAAATGGTGATCATGATTGAACTCACGGACGAATCCAACTTGTGGCCGGACTTCAAAACTTTGAAGCATGTCCTGGTTTCCACGCAGCCACGTTTAGGCGGCGCTGCGAATGCTGCCATCGTCGATAAAAGGACTAAATACCCATTAACCATACTTTATATACATAATACGGAGCGGCTTTCGTCGAAAATAAACTTCAACCCGAGGTTGAACCAAAAGTTGAACATTGAACTTGACGTTTGTTTGTCCCAGCCGGAGCTCGGACCGCACCTTCCTTATTCCGACCTCTCACTACAACTTCACATCCTCCTCGAATGTCGGATGGCGCGCAGGGTGCGTTTTACTGTCCTCCAGAGAGCCGTCAACCGACGGCCCCAAATCGCTGATCTAGAGGTCAATCCGACCGTGAACTTTGTCGCGGGCACGCTAGGTGTACGTAACGCGCCACCGTGCCCCTAGCTGCAACTGAGAACGAGTGCAGGGTGTCGCGGGACTCGTCGCAGGATTCCCATTCGACACAGGTATTGTACTATATAGTCAAGCACGACGGGGCCTTGACGGCGGTGGATGAAACAGTGAAGGTGCGGCTGCAGACGCCGGAGCTCGCAAAACGATACCGGGGGTCGACGCTGCGCGCGATCGCGACCATCGTGCAGGAGGAGCGCGTCCTGGGACTGTACAAAGGAATCTCATCCCCTCTAGTGCGTCCCCGAGTCAACAAACAAACAACCAGATCATGCTAACACTCCCCAGCTCACGGTCGCGCTGATGAACGGGCTGGTATTCGCGTCGTATGGCTTCTTCCTGCGAGCGCAGATCGGCGGCGCGGACTCCAGCACGGCGTCGCTCGCGCAGATCGCGCTTGCGGGCATGGGGAGCGGCGTCGTGTCCGCGGTAGTGACGACCCCGACGGAGCTCGTCAAGATCCGGCAGCAGCAGTGCACAGGCGCGAGCAGCGCCCTGGACATCGCGCGCGCGGCGGGTGTGCGCGGGCTCTACCGCGGCGCGCTTGTGACCGCATTGCGCGACTGTGGGTACGGGGCGTATTTTGCTGCGGTGCGTGCATCGGGTTGGGGTGTGGCATTGTGCTAATGCTGATGCGAGACATCGATAGTACGAGGCGACGGCGCGCGCGCTCGCTCAGCCGGGGGATGCACGGGCGGGGAAGTGGCCTGTGCTCGTGGCGGGTGGGGTGGCAGGGATTGGTGAGATTTCGGTTGCGGCTGCTGCAGGCTGACGCGGCACGCAGTGGGCTGGCTTGTAACGTTCCCGCTGGATGTGGTGAAGACGCGCGTGCAGGGCAGCGGACTCGGCGTGGCGGTTGGTGCGGGCGCGCAACAGCCGTTGTTGTCGGCCGGCGTGAACCCGTACCGCACGACGTGGTCGGCGATCGTGCACTCGTACCGTGCCGAGGGGCTGCAAGTGTTCTACCGCGGACTCACGCCAACGCTGATACGGTGAGTTTCAGGCGCGCTTCAAGTCGTGAGTGCTGCTGAGCGCACCGTGACAGGGCCGTGCCAGTAAATATGGTTACGTTCGCGGTGTTCGAGGCGGTGGTGAGCGCGTTTGGATGAGGTGACGAGGGAGAATAGAGCGTTTGGGTAAGACTCTGTGCGTTAGAATAGAAGAGAAGGATATATTATGACGGTCCACAACCTACTTTATACGTTGAGCCCCACAATAATTATATTGAACCTCACGAAACATTGCACCGTGCTAGAGATACGAGTGTCGACAGCCGAAAAGTGCTCGTTCGCGTATTAATACTATGAGTGAGCCATCATGCAGAAGTAACGTGAATACTAAAGGCCGCCTTTATATTCGCAAATTAATGAATATTCGACGTTTGGCCCAGTTCCAAAAAGCGTGGCTAAAAACACAAACCATTTCTTATTCGTCGTCTTGCCTCCGGACTTGGACTCAATTTTTGCCGCCAGGACCTTTCTCCTTGTTCGTGTCCTTCGCCAACATCGCATCAATCTCCTCCCAAAGTGTCTTGAGCTCCTCTTCATCATCCTGGATGTTCTTTGCATTAGACGCCACTCCGTATCCAATTCAAACAGGACATGGCATGGGCCATCTGCCAGTTATAAATCAGATATAAATGAAGAGGAGGAAAATCGATAACAAATGGGACAGGGTACTATAGCACGTACCCGCAACCGGTGAACAAGTCAGGGAATCTGCACAGAATGGATCAGGAAGATTTTTCGTAGGATTTTAGAGAGAAGAACTTGCCTCCCACTGAATCCCCCACAGCCTGGGCACACAGACCTGTATAACGAACGAGGAGCGAGCGTTGTGTTAGTACAGCGTCTGTCAAGAGAGACAAATACACTGGCAGACCTCGAGTTTCCGCACTCTGGACAGACGAAACGAGACCTGAGCAGGGCAGCAGAGGCTTCGAAGAGCTTCCCGCGCAGCAATTCGTAGTCCACAGATTTGACTAGGCGATTAGACTCTGATGACAACTTTTTACGCGAGTTGAGGGATAATTGCTGCATGTGGATATCTATCTCCCATTCATTCTCCTCTTCCTCATTGTAGTCATCTTCATCGTCATTTCGCATGAATTTGGGGTAGTAAATGTCGATTAAGATATGTTGTGTTTGGAAAGAGGGCTGAGCACCGTGAGTGGTGTTGGTTTCAGCGGACGTGGATTCATCTGAATCTTTGTGGACCTTTCGAACGTCCTTGACAACGAACGGTTCGAATCCGAGCTCTCCTTTGTGAGCGTCTTCAACGAGGAAAATCGTGCGTTTCTTTGTGGCAGCTCGGAGTTCCTTGAGTGGCACCTCCAGAATAAGGAGGTTGTTGAATATTTGGCATACAAGACGGAGGCGGCGTTTGTCGGAAAGGGAGAGATAAGAGATAATAGAGAGATAGAGTTCGGGTGAGAGAGTGAGGAGGTGAGACGACATGGTGGTTTGTGCGAAGAGTGGATTTTTAGGGGCGAACAACACCGCCTCATCCCCAGTGAGAATCGGTCCTGCTGGGATCGGCTGACAGATGCTGGGATCGGGCACACATGCTGAAATCGGCTGAAATCGACCGAGCTGTCTTTCCTTTCATAAAATAAAGTATCTGTCGTCAAATTTTGACAGACCTATAGTTAAATATAAATTGCCCGCGGCCTGTGTTTTGAGGGAGTGAAAGGCCTCATCGACAGATCAAAAGATCAAATCACGACCACGTGAGCGGCTAATCCTCAAAGGTCATCTTTAACGAGGAAAATGGTTTGTTTCTGTTCGCCAGCTCGTAGTTTCTCGAGTGACGCCTCGAGAATAAGGAGGTTGTTGAAAATTTGGCGTACGAGACGGAGGAGGAGTTTGTCGGAGAGGGAGAGAGGTAGGAGATAGTGATGCCGAAGTGTTAAAGCTTCTTCAACTTGAGTTCCGACGCATCTCTCTCTTCCGCTCTTCAAATTTCCGCCTTCCACCATATTCGACGAACCGGCAGCACCTCATAAAAATAGTGCGCACCTGTAAATCCTCACTCTTCTCTCCCGCTGTTATATTCAGGATGAAGCACAGAGTCCCTTTACACGCGTTATATTGTCCTCGCCTTACGACAAATTCAAGTCACCACTATTAGCGGACTCAATAAATCCCTGGGAGGACGCCGGGACCTCGCCGTCAAGACCTCAGTGGGAGGCTGCTCAAGACTCAAGACAGGGCCCAAAGACGCCGCGAAGACCGCAGTGGCAAATTGATCAAGACTTTAAGACGCGCGGACAGCGCCTTACTTTCTTTTTCCTGTATCCGCTGGCCCCCTGGCATGTCTCCCGTCCCGTTTTGTAAAGCGGCCAGCGGTTTCATGCAGTGTTGGCATTGACCGGGTCGAATAAATTTGACCGACACCTGAACTGAAAGCCAGAGCCCAGGAACCTCTTGACTTCGTGTATATCCCATGAGTCTGTCGAAGCATGAAAAAGTTCAAAATATTTTGGAGAGTTATTGCTCAACAGTTAAAGGTTACAACCGTGGGTCAAATGTCTTGACCCCTGTTTGACCCCGGTCAATGCCAACACTGGTTTCATGTACGCGGTATTCTTGAGGCCACGGAGATGTGAGGAGTGTTGAAAGCCGAATGAAGTCGAGCTCGAGTAAAATCTCCTTGAAGATCGCGCGTATTTTTTTGGTAAGCAATGGAAAAGACGGCACTGGGAAGGATTCCTTGAATCGTGAATCGTGAATTGGGACCGATGAGAGGCTCCACCTTGAACGTGAAGCTCTGCGCTATGTTGTGGCTTGTTTGCGAACTGTTCAACTTGGATTTTCCCAGCATAATCGCTGTGTTCGGTAGGGAGACTTGAAACTCCTTGACTTGGTGGGGGGACGATCGTCAGCAATCGCGCTGGCTAAAGAGCGGCCAAGGCCCAAGGATCCATTCAAGATTGGCGATCTGCACCGCCACTGACGCGTCATGCAGATCCTTCCTCACGGGGATGCGAAGTCTGATTCCGATAAATCTGGGCTCTGCCAAAAAATCTGCAGCTACTATGTATCGCCGACCTGGGATTCGTAGCCACTCCCGGGATACCCAAGCGGTGATACGGTATTTTTTTTGACACGCCCACATTATCACAATATTCTTATGATTCGGCTTTTACTACTCCGACTAATATTAATAACGTGGCTCGGACGTGCCTAGTACATTGTACAAAGTACATACGCTCTCGCGCGTTTCATCTCGACGGAGTTTTTTTTGTACATTAGAGATCTGCGAAAGATTCCGACTTTCTCGGACTCTCGTAACGGAGATCTGCGATCTGGGGGCCATATGTACCGAAATACACGTTACGTTGTGCCCACTATAGTTCAGTGGTAGAACAGCCCGCACGTTCAGTTCTCATCGTGTCGGGAGGTCGGAGGTTCGAATCCTCCTAGTGGCACAAGGTAGCCGGGACCCGGGCTTAGCCCACGACCCAGAAGAGGGCGTCCCGCGAGAGAGTTCAGTACTTGCATTCTATGATTTCTATCATGCACTCCTGGCTTTCACACAGGGTTTTTTTTTTGTTCTGGTCTTCTATTCGGGTCCAAGACCACCAGGAAAACTCAGAAGACAAGGATCATCGCCGATTCAAGCTCATAACTTGGCAATGTGCTCCCTATTCAAACTGGCGTGCCGAAGAAAAGGATCAAAAGGTATTTATCATTCTCAGGCGAGCATTTGAGAGACGCCAAAAAGGTTGGCCAGTAAAGCTTCGCCGTTATTGCTACCCGGGCCTTGCCCCGTAGAATGAAAACTGAAAAAAAAAAAAACTTGATAGATGGAATTAGCGACCTCACTTCACTTCAAACACGTACGCCAGGCAGACCAGGCACAAATACGATGTGGCTGAAATACTGCACTTGGTTTTTCTGCTACTTAGCCAACCGTCGACGCGAATCGCACTGTAAAATCGATCAACTAAAGATTATTTTATGAGGGAATGCGAATTAATTAATGACTTTACTGTTGCTGCCTAGCGGGAGGAATAAGCCCTATATACGACTGGCCTAGCTTAGCCTTGCCGCCCCGCCCCTGCGTCGCAAACTCGCCCACAGTCTTCGGCCACCAGACCGCTCCCTCTCCAGCGGGAATCGTCGCGCCCTTGACCGGCAATGCAGCGAGATAAGGGTCCTCGTTCAACGCCGCGGGCACGCCAGCGAGCGGGCGGTCCGCGACGTACCATATGGGCACCTCCGCGAGGAGCCCCGGCCCCGTCGGCGATATGTGCGCGTACTGCGGGTGCGTGAAGTGTAGCTGTAGGCTGTACTGTGCGGGGTGTGGGTAACCACCTATAATTTAACGCTCGTGCTTACCTCGCGTCCGATTTCGGTGTAGCGGTAGCTAACGGGCCGACACGGCGGGATGCGAAGCTCGCCGTCCAAGCGCTGAAAGTGCTCCGTTTCGGGCCCGTCGAGGTCATCCGGCAAGTCTTCTATTGAGTGCGCAGGGGACGGGGGCCGGACGGTATCGCCCGTGGGCGTCGTTTCCAGGGCGTCGTCTTCTGCGTTCCACACGCTCTGCATCCGCGACCCTCCAACGTTCTTTGTCTTGTGAGAGGGTGCTTCTACCGCTGACGGGTCTGCTGATCCTGCGAGGTCCAGCGAGACGAGCTCCGGCACCGGCTCCCCGTCCCTCGGACGTCCTGTATCCGCGGCCCACACGCGCCCCTCTACCATGCGCTCAAGGGTGCGCGTCTGCCGTGACTGCTCTCGGGGCCGCAGCGCCTCCGACGACGGGAGGAAATCGGCCTTGTAGTACCCCACACTCACCGCTCCCGGCTGCCCGAGCAACTTCAGCGCTTCCGCGCTCTTCGACCACAGCAACACCCCGAATTCGACAGTCTGCCCCGCCGTATACACCGCCGGGTCCTGCACGCCCAGCTGCGGGAACGACTCATCAGCATGTGCGCGAGTGAAGCGGGAATACGGCGCACAATACCCTCGATTTCGACGAGCTGCGCGCCGATGCGGCCCCTGCCGCCGAACGGGCTGAGCACCCATCCGCCGATCGTCTCGCGCTTGAATGGCCAGTCTTCACGCGAGGCGAGGAACGGGAACGGCGTCGGCGGGCGCGGGAGCGGGCGCATGAGCGGGATGTACTGCAAAATCATGTCCATGTCCTCGTTGATGCCGCCCACGCTGTCCCGCCGCACCCCCACGCCGCACGTATAGTTTATTTTCCCCGACGCTGTGGTCTGTTGGGTTAAAGCATCGAGAAGACGACGCAGGACGCACGCGGCAGGGGTACGAGGCCTTTGGTCTGCCAAAGCCTTTAGCGTTTGCCGTGTTCTACGAGGGCGGGTGCTTACCTTCCGCGTGTCATTGTCCGGGTGGGTTACTGGCACGAATCTAGGCAGCGGCGGCAGCTCAAAAGGGAAGACGTATGTGCCCTGCGGGAATTTGCCCTTGAATTGACCGGGCTGTTGGTCGGTGCGCAGCGGGTTGCCCTTGTGGCGATTCCAGACATTGGCGGTCAGGCTGATAATCTGGCCTGCCGGTGCGACCGCGGCGAGCTGCTTATATGGTAAATGCAAGATTCAGGATAACAAACTGGGCATGCGCACCCAGACGTCGATACTAGAGATGTTCTTGGTTTTTTCAAGAAATAGTCGTACTTCGCCAGTGACTTTGGCTTCGGTACCCCTGGATCAATTGTACAGAAATACAGCGAGGTCCATTCTAACCTTCATTATGGTACATCGCGGCCAGAGACGACTCGGGCGCATGGTTGAACAAAATGAGGGACAGCCAATGGTTCTTCTCTTCAATGCGGAGGGGCAGAACGGTCGCGTGTGCCATGGTGTACGCACACAGATCCGTTCTCGGGGCGGTACCAGGCATGTCTGGCGGCTGCGGCGGGTCCTCGTGGTACCATTCCGGTGCGCCTGCATCGTCGTTAGCACCCAAGCCATGCTGCACATATATTTCACTACCTAGGGTAGAAAAATCGGGTCGTCTGCGCTTCTTGACGCGTTGGCCACCGATGGTCAGAGAATAAAGCGATGCAACGAGTGAACGGGCGCCAGCGGACTTGATGGACGCGGTGTCGCGCTTATTGGTAGCACCGTCCTTGTTCTTCTTGAGAATGTCGCGCAGGAGAGACATGGTGCAGGGGGACGAGTGCGGGTGTACAAATTATATAGGGATGTGGCGGATGGCCATCTCTGGGCTGTACCATATGGTGCACTGATGGTACCACGCGATGACCCGGTCGTGTCACGAAAGCTAATTGAAGAGTCGCCGCTCCGAACCACTGGTGACTGGCAGGCTGCGAAAATGGGGAACATTCAAGTCAGCGTTGAGCTGCGACACACATGCTACACATCACGCACCCTCACCGATGAAGGGCTCCCACTAGCAGTAAAACTGGGGCCAGCAGAGGATTGGAAGATGCTGGCTTAGCTTGATGTCCAAAAGTAGCCAAAAGCAATTTAAATCGAACCATGCAAGCAAAGGAAGAGAAGGATGTGGGGCAAAAGATCGGCGTTCGCGGGCCGCCACACGTCTTCCTTCCGTCCATAAAAGTCGATTTCCCGTCTAGTATGCAGCAAACTTGGATGGCCTGGGCGCGGCAGACGTCTATAAGCTCTTGACAAAAAACTGACATATATGATATCCCCCCTCGGAACTATGTAGATAATGTCGACAATCATCTTTCGGGCGCAGGGTCCGACTCGAGAAGTCGACATCTGGGCTCCTCCTCATGCAACATCGCGGCGATAAGGAGCAGCGTGTAAGTGCAGAAACGACGGGGACAGCGAGTCTCCGCAAAACTCGCTTTTGTTTGAATGCATATACGTACTTGCGTCCAAGTTCGCCTCGAAACTTACAATACCAAGTCCACTGAACGCCGAGTAAAGTCTGTTAGCCACTCTCATTAAAGCGTATCCATCTACATTCTCCAGCAGCCTTTTTTACACGATTCATGACGGCCAGTCCTTCCCTCTCTTCTTGGACCTCTTCTATAAGGATCAGATCGACACCTTGGCGTTCTAACGTGAGCAGCCCATCGAACAGGAGATGCGCGGTGACTGCAGGCTCCGCGGTAGGCCCAAGAAGAAATCGGGTCCATTCTAGTCCATCCGTCGGCAAGCTGCACGTTCCAAGCGTTGAATCGCTTGGGGCCAATATTCCGACTTTGACCGGCGTGTTCGTGTTGCCTGTGGCCCCGAGAGAAGCTAAGAACGAGTCTGCTTCCAAAATCTCCGTCCCGTCAGGCGGCGGAGACGCAGTATACAGAAGATAGACGGGCACGGCAGGAGAGTAATGCCGGTACTTCATTCCGGGCGTCGTTGGTGCCGCTTCCATAACTTCATCTCGGTAATCCCGCCGATGGACCAAGACCTTCGGTATCCGCCTAAGGGCACCCATCTCCTCCCGCAACACCCGTTCGATCTCTTCCACGGTGATCCCTCCGGGCCTTAAGACGCGCACATCACCGTCCGCATGCAGTCCGTCAACGACGGTGCTCTCCAGCCCGACGCCGCACGCGCCGCCGTCCAGGATGATCCCGACCTTGCCGTCCAGGTCGCGCCGCACATGCTCTGCGCGCGTGGGACTGGGCTTTCCGGACGAGTTGGCGCTGGGCGCCGCGAGGGGCGCGTTCGCCACGGCGATGAGCGCGCGCGCGACCGGATGCGAGGGCATGCGGATGGCGACTGTGGGCTGGTTCGCAGTGATGATAGAGGGTATGATCTTCGGGTCGCTGGGGAAGAGCAGGGTCAACGCGCCGGGCCAGAAGTGCTTCATCAAGGCAGTATACGCATCCGGAAGGACATAATCTTGGGGCAGGAGGGTGCGGAGCATGGCAAAGGACGAGACATGCACAATGAGGGGGTTGTCTGCAGGACGGCCCTTGGTAGAGAATATTCTGGATGTGGCGGGGACATTCAGAGCCAACGCACCGAGGCCGTATACAGTCTCTGTTGGAAATGCGACAGGCTGCAAATTGTTTACAAGTTCATGAGAGGCGGCTTGCAAGGCGCGCAGAGTTTCCGGCGAAGAGATGGTGGGCGCTGACGCAGAAGATGGAAAGGAAATCGATGAAGGATCGCACTTGAAGACTCTGGTAGTAAAGGCCATCAAGCGCGTCCTGAACATGCACTGCTCGGAGTTCGGGGGCAGGGTGATTAAGTCAGGTGGTCCTAAGTGGGGTCGGGATTGCGTCTGTTTGGAGGGTCGCCCACGGGCCATCAGAGGTACCGCCCGCGGTACCTCTGGACATCGCACCTATTTATGACTGCCCACCACCAGTGTATGCCCGCACCCATTTATCAATGCACACATTTTGGCAGCCACAATTAAATGCCCCCTCATCGCCCTCCCGCTGGTAAATATTCCTGCGGGACCTCCGAGTCCTGCAGGCAGAAATACCTGCACTGGCCTCCCGCAGGTAGATAGA